GAGGTTGCAGTGAGCTGAGATCGTGCCATTGCACTCCAGCCTGGCAACAATGCGAGATTCCATCTCAAAAAAGAAAAAAAAAAAATTAGCCAGGTATGGTGTCGCACGCCTGTAATCCCAGCTGCTCAGGAGACTGAGGTGGGAGGATTGCTTGACCCCAGGAGTTGGAGGTTGCAGTGAACTATGATAACACCATTGCACTCTAGTCTGGGTGACAGAGCAAGACCCTATGTCTAAAAATAACAATAATAATTTTATTAAAAATTACAAATTAGTTTTATTTATGAAGAAGTATGTCAGTAGTGGCTAAAAACTAATAATCTGTTGAGAAAATAGAGATTCCTGAGTTGTCCTATCCCTGTCCTATCTCAGATGTCCCTCTCCTCTTGGGTCTAGGTCTGAACACCATTCTCTTCTCACTTGCTGCAAAGTCTATGCAGGTTTGAGCCCTGGGTACCAGTGGGGGTGTGGAGAGTACGGCTGACGGGTGACTCCCTTTTGAAGACCGTTTTAGAGCTCAGCAAGCCGATCTGCACTCTCGGTGCCCTCACCACATGCAGGATAGAAAGCCTTGAGCTTGTGTTCCACTGTGACCTCATAGTCCATCCTCAGACATGGTCTGCCCAAGAGGGTTTTGTTTTGTTTTGTTTTGTTTTGTTTTTTGAGACAGAGTTTTTCTCTTGTTGCTCAGGCTGGAGTGCAATGACGCAATCTCGGCTCGATACAACCTCTGTCTCCCAGGTTCAAGCGATTCTCCTGCCTCAGCCTCTCGAGTAGCTAGGCTTTTTTTTTTTTTCCTTTTTTTTTAGTAGACACAATGTTTCGCCACATTGTTCAGGCTGGTCTTGAACTCCTGACCTCAAGTGATCCACCCACTTTGGCCTCCCAAAATGCTGGGATTACAAAATGCTGGGATTACAGGCATAAGCCACCATGCCCGGCCAAAAAAAGTTTTTTCTGTGGTTGTTTTTTTAGATGGCGTCTCACTCTGTCACCCAGGCTGGACTGCAGTGGTACAATCTTGGCTCACTGAAACCTCTGCCTCTTGGGTTCAAGTGATTCCCCTGACTCAGTCTCCCGAGTAGCTGGGGTTACAGGTGTGCGCCAGCATGCCCGGATAATTTTTGTATATTTAGCAGAGACGAGGTTTCACTATTTTGCCCAGGCTGGCCTCGAACTCCTGACCTCAAGTGATCCACCCGCCTTAACCTCCCAAAGGGCTAGGATTACAGCGTGAGTCATTGCACCCGGCCAACCAAGAGGATTTTTAAATTCTCAAAATGCCATGTGGCACAAGTTTAGAATCTGGGGACACCCAGACCTGGGTTCAGTTCAATTCTCTGCTTCTTCCTGGCCATGCAAGTTATTTGTATGCCCCGTGCCTCGGTTTCCCCATCTGTAATCTGGAGATGACATCAGGAGGGTTCTGGGTTAATCACGATCAGCCATTACTATTGCTGCTGTTGTGAGCTGTTGTACTATTGCTGAGTTCAGCAAGGGACTATGGAAGCTATCATAATACCTGATAAATGTCCTTGCATTTACTGAGCCACCTACTGTGAACCACGGGCAGGGGCTGTTTAACTGGCAGAGAAACTTAGGTGCAGAGGAAAGCCGGCTGCCCACATCTCTTAGTGGAGTGAGAGGCAGGAAACTGGGTCTCAGGACACCCTCCCTCCACACACATCAGGGCGGCCACGCTGGGGACACACGACTATTTTTACTTTGGTGGGCTCCAGGCTGCCCACGTCCTGATCTGGGTGTTCGCCATGGCAACCAGTGACGCCATCGGCCCCCACAGCCAATTGGAGGGGGCCGGAAGCTGCTGGGCTGCCGGATGACCCAGCTGGGAGGGCAAGGTCTCCCGGGAGAGGTGGGGAAGGGTTGCAGGGGTGTGGTGTCACCCCAGGCCTGACTTCAGCTGCTCTGCGCTCAGAAAACCAAGCTGTCACGATGGGAGGAGAATAATCTACCACTCGGAGGTCTCCCTGACTGCTTGAATACGTCTGAGGATAACTCACTACGTTGAGTTCAAGCAATCACAGGGATGGAACCATCACCACCATCATCGTGGCCATTAGGGTCTCGTTCTGGCCCTTCCAATAGCTGTGGGACTTTTTTTTTGTTTGTTTTTGAGACAGTATCTCGCTGTGTCGCCCAGACTGGAATGCAGTGGTGCAATCTTGGCTCACTGTAACCTCCGCCTCCCAAGTAGCTGGGATTATGGGCATGTGCCACCACACCCAGCTAATTTTTGTATTTTTTGTAGAGATGAGGTTTCACCATGTTGCCCAGGCTGGTCTTGAACTCCTGGTCTCAAGTGATCCACCTGCCTTGGCCTCCCAAAGTGCTGGGATTATAGGCATGAGCCACTGCACCCAGCCAGTTGTGGGATCTTATACCACTTCCTCCACTACCCCACGTGAAACAGGGAGGGATTTGAACCCTTTTGGGGGGTCCCACTTGCACCCCATCCAGCACACAGTCCTAGATTCCCAGTCTGCCTCCCCCACTCCTGCACTGTGTGACCCGATGAGTGACTTAACCCCTCTGTGCCTCAGTTTCCTCATTTGGAAAATGGCCCAGTGACATAGGGTCCCTGGAGGAATCAACAAGTAGCAAGCTCAGGGCCTGGTGCTGGGGGAAGAGTTTGATGGATAGGAGTCAAGACAGTGATCAAGAGGTGAATAATAACCACCAGTTGAGAGTTGTTTCCAAAAGACAAAAAGATGTGAAGATTTTTCTTGTGGTTGTTTTTTGTTTGTTTGTTTTTGTTTTTGAGATGAAGTCTTGCTCTGTCGCCCAGCATAGAGTGCAATGGCACCATCTTGGCTCACTGCAACCTCTGCCTCCCGGGTTCAAGCGATTCTCCTGCCTCAGCCTCCCAAGTAGCTGGGATTACAGGTGCCCACCACTACACCTGGCGAATTTCATATTTTTAGTAGAGATGGGATTTCACCATGTTGGCCAGGCTGGTCTTGACCTCCTGACCTCACGTGGTCCTCCCACCTCGGCCTCCCAAAATGCTGCATTACAGGCATGAGCCACTGTGCCCGGCTTGAAGATGTTTTTTTGAAAGTGGCAGAGAGAGGTGAGGCAAAATCGGCAGCTCCCTGCAAAGGCTCCCGGGGAAGCTGGACTACACGGAACTCTCCTGGCACCATTCCCGGACCCTTCAGTCCCCACACCATCTGCTTCCGCCCACAGCCCCCTCTGTGCCTGCTGTTCCCCTAGGAGTGGCTCCTACCCAGAGGAGTGGAGGTTGGGGAGGCCCCGACCCCCTGAAACTGCCCATTAAAGGTAGTATTTATGGCATCCCCGTCTGTGCTTGCCCAGGCTGGGGGATGCTGCCTCCCCCACAAGCTTTAGCCCCACCTGAGGAAATTCCAGTTTGGAGAAGACATAGCAGAGCAGGAGCACCTCCATACTGGAGGGATTAAGAGAGAGACCCAAAGTGGCTGGGTGCTGTGGCTCACGCCTGTAATCCCAGAGGCTGAGGCAGGAGGATCACTTAAGATCAAGAGTTTGAGACGGGTGCAGTGGCTCACGCCTGTAATCCTAGCACTTTGGGAGGCTGAGGTGGGCGAATCACAAGGTCAGGAGTTCAAGATCAGCCTAGCCAACATAGTGAAACCCCGTCTCTACTAAAAATACAAAAATTAGCTGGGCGTGGTGGCATGCACCTGTTAGTCCCAGCTACTCGGGAGGCTGAGGCAGGAGAATTGCTTGAACCCGGGAGGCGGAGGTTGCAGTAAGCCAAGACCATACCATTGCATTCCAACCTGGGTGACAGCGTGAGACGCCGTCTCAAAACAAAAAAAAAAAAAAAAAAAAAAGTTTGAGGCTATCCTGGCCAACATGGTGAAATACCATCTCTACTAAAAAATACAAAAATTAAATTAGTCAGGTGTGGTGGCATTTGCCTCTAATCCAGTTACTCAGGAGGCTGAGGCAGGGAGAATCACTTGTATCCAGGTGACAGAGGCTGCAGTGAGCCGAGATTGTGCCACTGCACTCCAGCCTGGGTGACAGGGCAAGATACTGTCTGAAAAAAAAGAGACTCGAACGGAGAAGAGGGGTTGGAGGCACGCAGAGAGGAGAGCTAAGGGGCTTCCTGGAGTAGAGGGCGTTGGACAAAGCCAGTAGGCACATGGAAAACACCAGTCCATGCCCAGCAAACAGTACGTGCAAACAGAGCACTCAGCCTGCTGGGCACCAAGCCCCGTTGGAAGTTCAATGCCCCTGAAGTGAAATGGGAGAGAAGTCAGCATGGACCACATGGCACAAGCCCCAGGGCTTCCTGGAGGAGGAAGAGGAGGAGGAGGTGGAGGAGGAGGAGGAGGAGGAGGAGGAGGAGGAGGGGGGGGGGGGGGGGGAAATAAATGGAAGCGGGCCATGAGAAAGCAGGATCACCTTTGAGGGCTGAACCTAAGGGAGCCACCCCAGTAGTGGCAGAGACAAAGTCCAGATACAGGCTCTAACCACCTTCTCTGCCAGGGGATGCTCTGTTTGTGGGACCTGGTGTTTTGAAATTCGGTCATGTGTAAAGCAAAAGTCCAAGTGGGAGATGATAAATGTAATAAGCTAATAGTAGTAGTGGTAATATCAGCTCACGTTACCCGGTGCCTGCACACGTTATGCGTGAGGCTGAGTTTAACCCAAACTGGGAAGGTCTCCACCACCTCCCTGGACGCAGGGCTGTCGCCAACTGGCCGCCCGCGGGCCAGGTCAGATCCTTTTTCAGACCTCTCCCGCACACAGCCAACAGCACGCCCCACATTGTCACCACCGGAGAGGATGCCCTGGGCTATCCGTCTGGACTGGCCAGTCAGCATCCTTCTGTGAATGGACTCTTTGGCCTTTGGCCTCCAGGAAATCTGATTGGCTCTCATCAGCGATCTGCCCCCTGATTGGCTGGGATGCTCCTGGACCATTAACAAGGTTTCCAGTCAAAAAAGACCCCAAACTGCAGCTGATGAAGACAACACTTTTCAGGTGCCAGATTGTTTAGAATTTCTCTGGCTTCCTGGTGGGTACTTCCCTCTGTGGGCCTCAGTTTCCTCCTCTGAAAAATGGAACTAATAAAAGCACTGACCACTCGGGCTGTTAGAAGAATTGAATGCATGAGAGGGCTTAGCATGTTAATATGAACAGTTATTATCACTTTACTATTATTTTATTATTATTTTAATCTTCTCCCACTTGGACCTTTATTTTTATTTTTGAGATAGGATCTCGTGGTCATGGCTCACTACAGCCTCAAACTCCTGGGCTCAAGAGATCCTTCTTGGCTGGGCACGGTGGCTCACGCCTGTAATTCCAGCACTTTGGGAGGCCAAGGTGGGCGGATCACCTGAGGTCAGGAGTTTGAGACAAGTCTGGCCAACATGTTGAAACCTTGTCTCTACTAAAAATACAAAAATTAGCAGGGCGTGGTGACATGTGCCTGTAATCCCAGCTACTCGGGAGGCTGAGGAAGGGAGAATTACTTGAACCCGGGAGGCTGAGGTTGCAGTGAGCTGAGACTGCGCCACTGGACTCCAGCCTGGGTAACAGAGCAAGATTCCTTCAAAAAAAAGAAAAAGAAAAAAGAAAAAAAGAGAGAGATCCTTGGATCCTTCTGCCTCAGCCTCCTGAGCAGCTGGGACTACAGTCATGAGCCACCACACCTGGTACACTTAGAGTTTCATTCCATGCTCCTTCCTGGCTTCCTGACCTTTTTGATTCCCCGGCTCCTGTTCCTAGCCCTCCAGAGGAGTTTTTCCAGCCCCTCAATATGGGTATGCCCTCTCCTGCTCCAGCACCTTCCATACATAGCTCCCCATCACCCTAGGGGGAAAGTCTAACCGCTTCAAAATCAGCACTGAAGGCCCTGGAAGCGTTAAGTCCTGGCCATCAGCCTCTAGTGCTAAGAAATAGGTTCAAGTTCTTGTTTCCCCATATAAACAGGTAAGAAAGGCTACATGACTCTGGGCCTTTGCACGTACTGTGGCCTCTGCCCAAATGCCCTCATTCCGTCGGAATCCGTGCTCATCCCTCCACCTTCGCGGATGGATGCCTGTGCTGGGTTGGTCTGGAGAGGAAGCCGGAACTGCTTGGGTTCAAATCCTGTCTGACTCTGTCACCTACACTTTGTGAAACCCGGACAGTGTCTATGCTTCTCTGAACATCAGTTTCCCCTTTTGTAACATAGAACTTATCATCAGGAAATGTTTGACCCCCCCATGGAACAGGCCCCACTTCCTGACGTCAGCAGCACCCCCATTCGCCTACCCGGAGGCGGTTTCTCTATTTTAAGAGGCTGCGGGCGGGTTGGCATCTAACTGGGGCTGGAGGCGGGGCTGCCCCCCCCAACACCACGCTGCTCGCCAATCCCGCCCCGCCCCCTCCTTTCCGCCCAAGTCCCCCACTCTTGCCTCTGGCCTCAGTGCTTCCAGTTCTGCCCCACCCCCGCGCGGCCAGAGATCGGGTGTCTCTGATCTGCAGTTCAGCCCGTGCCTTCCCTGACCACTCCCGACCTGGCTTCCCATCACCTGCAGAGTTCGCAGTCCCGCAGCTACCGGTGCGGCTCCAGGTTGGAGACCCGCGGGCCCCATTCCTCTCACCCCCTCAACCCGCCCGGAGCTAACCTCAGTCCACGACGCCCACCACACCTGCTCAGTCCTCCCTGGGTACCAGCTTCTGTCAGCCTCTTTCATTTCCCTAAATACCGCCCTCCCGCTGCAATGCCCCGCCACCCTTGACTGCCTCCTCTAACCCAGGGCTCCCAGCAATGTCTGGATCAGGCGCCTCCTTCACTTGCGGTGAGTCCCTTATCACAACTGACCACTCCGTGGGGTCACCGCTGCTCTGGCGTCTACCTTCCGGAACAGGTTAGGGTTTCTAGGAGGGCAGCTCCAGAGGTTGCAGAACACTCTACTTACTGCCTGTCCAGAGCCAGGCATACAGCAGGCGCCCCATAAATGTTCGTTGGGTAAGTGCTGAATCCCAGGTTCCCTACCTGAAAACTTGGTGGCTTCTTAAGGGTGTGGTCTAAGTCCCAGAGGAAAATGGCCAAATCTTAATTCTCGTTTTTCATTTCTTATGACGGGGAAACTGAGGCCCAGAGAAGTCAAGGGGTGGCTGTCCGGGGTCATGTAGCCCGTGTGTGGCTTCAAACTTAGGCTTCTGCTGTCCCCGACGCCGTCCTGATGACACAGCCTCCCAAACATGAACTCGGTAAAAGGAGGACCCTGTGGCCCGTTGGAACACTGAGGCCCGGAGAAGCAAGGGTGCCCTCCCTCCAGGTCACACTGCTGTTTGGCAGCGCCTTGTGCCCTAAGACAGCTGGTTGAGGGCGCAGGATCGAATCCCAGCTAGGCGACCTCTGGAGAGTGGCTTTTTGGGATTAGAACCTCAGTTTCCTTATTCTGACAAATGGGCGCCTGACAGTCCCAACCTCCCCAGGTCGTCGTAGGGCTGAACTGAGGGGGGTACTGCGGTGCAGCGACGACCCAAGGAGGTATTAATACATAAGAACTAATATTAATACATCGCTAGTAATAGGACTAAAACAACCATGAACATATGGTGAGTTCTCTGGCTGCTGTTGCTAGCATTATTATTAGAACAGCTGGTGGGGAGGGGCAGAGCCCTCAGCCTCTTCCTCCCACGCCATCGCTTGGAGCCTCAGTTTCCCTAGATGTCCAAGGGGGACACCTTCCCCCTTCCCACCAGGAGAAAAAGCACTTTGAGAAGCGG